GCCTTGCTGGCTGGGGAATTCTGGGCGCTGTAGTCCACACATTTTCTAGCTGCCAAGGTTGCGAAACATTGGATTAAAAGCTTAGGTTCTATGGTGGAAGAGGACTCATTACATGGGATGGTACTCCCCCATCCATGACTAAGAAAAGATATTGGAGATCCAGGATGAAGTCCATCCTCAACCATGGAAGCACATTGGGTAACATCCCACCAGTTGTTCTCTCCCAGCCCAGCTTATGATCCTTATGTAAGTTCCTGATGGAAAAATAGGCATAAATCTAGGAAATAAATTCCTTGTTTACACAAAACTAGAATGTCTCGAAGAAAGATTCAGCCAATCCTTTCCAGCACAGGCTTGTTTTCTGTGCACAGAGTGGAGAGAATTTAAATACACAATACCTTTCCCCAGTTGGCTGCAGTAATATTCTTTGGGAAGGAACAACTGATTCTGCTACATTCAAAAGGAGCCCTTATTCTCTTCCTGATATCATCCATGAACTGAAGCTGGTGAAGATATAAAAATCACTGGGATTTCTAAAAATTCGGCTCCTCAGCCTGAGAGTCTGAAATCCTGCATGCCATCTTTCTCACCATCTAGGTCAGTGTTTCTCAACCTTGGCAACTTTATGCTGTGTGGACTTCAACTCCTAGAATTCTAGCATGCTGGCTGGGGAAATTTGGGAGTTGGGAGTTGGGAATTCTGGGAGCTCCCAACATTCTCGATGGGGAGTTCTGGGAGTTGAAGTCCACACAGCTTAAAGTAGCCAAGGTTGAGAAACACTGCTCTAGGTCTTGCCTTGGAGAACCTCAAAGAGAGACTAGAATCCTGAAGCTGTAATTTAGGTTTCTTGGATGTGAATTAGACATTCAGATGCCTCATAGCATTCTATGGCCTGATTCCTTATTTTTATTGTCTCCATTGAGCAAAACAAATAAAGGAAAACTGATTTACCTAAGAGATTCATTAAATAAGGTAATATATGCAGCTCTTTACAAAGCTCCTGCAGGAGGATTTTCTCTACTCTATTGGACAAGACAATAGAAGGAGGCTGGGATGTACTTACGGGAACAATTCCCAATTAATCTATTATACTGGAACACTCTTTCTGTTCTTTTTATTATTGCTGTTTTACTCAGAAAGTGGTTGCCTTAATACTTAGCCTGGGTATTGAGTTAATCCATTTTCTGGGTTCACAAAATACATTGACCCATAAACCTCCAAACAGACTGCATTTGCTTATGTGCCTATGCAAGGACACAAAAACCTAACCCAAATTAACACAATCAAGGTTAGTACGTTGTACCAATACATCCCTGAAGGGCCTCCTTAACTTTGTCACTCTGAAAAGTGTTTGTTTCCTAGAAAGTATTTTTTATTATTCACATGCATTTATTTGCAAACAACTGTGTACTGGCCAGATCCTATGACACCAGGCAGTTTACAGAATTAAAAACTAAATACATGCCATGCAGCTTCAGAGGAAGGAACTAAAGGATGGCCAATATCAGTAGCCACTCCCAGAAGTCCTGCTGAGAAAAGAGCCATTTTGACAGTTCTGCATAAAGCTAGGAAGGAGGGTGCCTAGCACTGCTCTGGAGGGGCAAGATATTTGAAAAGGGGAAGGGAATGTGCTACACAAAAGGATTGCTTTGGGTTCATGCCCCATTGATCTCTTGGGGGGTAGAACCCCAAGCACTCCTTCCTTCCCAGAATGCAAGGACTGGATAAAGTCTACCCAGAAGAGACAGTTCTTAAGGTAAGAAAAGTAGCCAGCCTAAGGCTTCTCTATGACTTTACATTAACTTTTGCTTTGCTATTTTGTTATGCCCATGGTATATTTTTCATCTTCTGCCTCCCAAATCAGTGTGAAAACCCCAGAAATGAGCCAGAGTTTGCGCAATAAATCAGTGGATGAAAATAACAAGCAACCTTGATATACAATGTTGAAAGCTTTTAAAAAGTCAAGAATCCATCACCATGACTTCAACATATACCAAAGAGTGAGTGAAGGAGGCAAGGGAAGAAATGACAAAATGTAGATTCGGGTTTCTTGTCCCAGAACTCAATAATCTTTTAATAGAGGCAGGAAAAAGAAAGCAACTAGAATGTGTGCAGAATGTTATAAATAGTCATCTAGCAGAGATTTTATTTGCCCAATGTTAAACTGAGGATGGTACAAAATGTCTTCAATTTAGTGGACCAGGTGAGGGCAGGTGTCAATTAAACCCATGCATCCATTAAATTCAAATTTATGTCATTTGCATTAATTTGCATTGTTCACATCAATTTCTGACATTTGCATAACTATGTATGTAATGCAGAAACTTTCAATTTAATGGACATTAGTCCATTAAATGAGGGTGAAATTCAAATGAAAAATATGTCAGTTGTCTCTGAAGTCCATTAAATTGAGGACTGTTAAATGGAGGTTCCACTATAATATCAACTTGGCCCTCAATCATTAAAAAGTATATCTGTCAAGAAACTAAACCTTACTTCAAATCCTTATTTCAAAGCTCAGCTGTGATTTCATTAAATTGTCTCAGACAAGTTCTATCCTTTACCCTTTCCATAACCACATAGGCATGATTATGCTGACCTACAAGATTTTTGTAAGGATTGGAAATGAAATAGATGTTCCTTGAACACACTTTCAGATTTTGGGAAAGGGACAGAGAGAACGGAGCTTGAAAGACCTTGACATTTAAAGAAAACTCTTCTATATATTCAGATTTTTTTTTAATTTAAAAAAACTAGGCACTTAAAAAAATCTGTTGCAATTTCAGCAAAATCTGTTCAGTAAGCCATTGTTCAGTCAACACCTGACCTCTTCCAGATGTGTTGGGACAGCAACTGCTAGAATGCAATCACAAAACATCTGAAGCCGTAGCCTCTGCAAGGGAGATCAAAAGGCATCTTGATCTTTTTGATCCCCTCTGCAAACACCTGTGTTCTGAAGGTCACTCTGTTGAGAAGGCTAATCTAGTTGCTGAAGATATTTAAACTATCCCCTGTTGAACTATCTCCTGATCTCAGGAAATCTGTGGTTCAAAAACTTATGGTGTTCTAACAACACAAGAAGGTTTGGGGATCACATACTTACTATAAATGATACATGCATTGAATTTGTGAGATCTGACCAGCTGAGGGGGAAAATGACTTCCATCCTTCTTTGCCTCTGCCTTCCAGTTTTCTGAGTTTGGTTAGCAAATCAAGACTGTATTAGAGTTTGGCATGCCTAGAAGATAATGTTGTTTTGCTGTGTTCCTTTGTTTTATCTGATTCCTTAGGGGGAGCCAGGTCCTCCTGGCCAAGCTGGGCCAGAAGGTCCAGGAGGACAGCAAGGGACCCCTGGTTCCCAAGGATTAACAGTGCAAGGCCCCATTGTAAGTTATTTCCTTTTCCTTCAAGATTGGGTTAAAACACTGTGATTCAGACACTGGCATAGCAGTGGCTTTTGAGAAATAAAAATCAGGATATTTTAGATCTCAGCAAGGTTAGTCATGGAGAAAAGGTCCCCTGTTGGAATTCATACAAGGGGAATGGAACAGACTATGATCAACTTGCTTCCTTGTTCTTCTGCTAGCTCTTGGGTTCTGAATTTTGCAGGCTGAGTTTATAGACCATCCAATGAACTTTCTGGCTGAAGGAAAAATTAAATGAGATTCTTCCCCATCCTGGACTCACATTTAGCAGTCCACTTCTGCACTGGTGACTTATAGCACCTGCATAGCATCACCCAGTCATTGTTGAGGTAATATAAAGCCTGTCTGCATTACTATTATTTTGGCACAGCAGTGTTTGGAGTACTGTAGAAGATGCTATAAATTGCTAGTGTGGAAATAGATTGGCTCATAATAGACTTCAGCCAAAGCAAACTGCATTCAAATTCAAATTCCTGTGGAGCTGCCTTTAGGTCACATTTTCTGCTTGTGTTTCCAAAACACACTTAACCTGATTGCTGAATTTTCTGGATTTGCAGCATATAACAGAAGGCTAATCAAACAGGCTGGGTTTGCCCTGCATGCTAAGCCACCAAAACCCAAACCAAAAAAATAAACGAGGTTAAAGCTAAAGTATAGCATGTTGTCCATATGCAGCCACTGGGCCTTTCCTAACTTGGTTAAGTGTATTGTGTGAATGGAATTACTTTGTGGTAAAAGCAGGTCTGCTCTTTTAATCCCAGTCTGGATCAAAAGCTCTGTTCCTGCTGGGAACTGGGTTCAGAATCAACAGTAGGAAACTCAAAGATTGGTGCAACATTCCCATCAATGAGAAAGATTCAAAATGTTTGATAGTAAGGAAAAAGAATAGAGATCTTCATGTTGGAAAATGCGAGTGGTCTCTTGAAGCTGTCCTGTAGTTCTGTAGGTCAGGGGATTGAATCATGGCCCTTGGACCCTAAAAATGATCTCCCCCTGTAGAAGGCAAAGGGGAGTTAGAGATAAGATATTCCTGGTAAGAGCCTGGATTGTGACAAAGTTGGAAATGCATTGTGAGGTTCTTCTGTAAATGGCTACAGCTTAAGATATTGGACTTGGAAACCCTGGTTGAAGTCCCCATTCAGCTACTGGATGACTTTGGGCCATCCAGCTTCACCAGGTGGTGGTGGTAAAAACTGGAGGAGAGATTGCTATGAATACTGTCTGATGTTCCTGGAAAAAAGGCAGGAAATTAGATGTGATGGATTAAATGAATGAAAAAGTGCTGGCTCAGAGATTGTAACAGAATATATGTCTCATAAATTGATTGTTTCATTTTTATTCAAGGGACCACCCGGTCTTAAGGGTGATAAAGGGGACAGCGGGAGCCCAGGAATACAGGTAATCATGACTGACCTTGTTCATTAGTGTTTAAGTTCTAGGCATCTACAGTCTCAGTTAAAGTCACCTTTCCCATCTTGGTGCCCTCCAACTGTTTGGACTTGAGCACCCGTAACTTCCAGCCAGATCCCATAATTCCCATCTGATGGAGGTTGAATGTATCTAAAAAGCATCCAGTTGAGGAAACTAGTCAAACAGTTGTCTGTTGCAAAATGTGGATCTTCAGTTGCTTTCTAACTCAGCTCTGAAATGTCCTTTTAACTTACCTGGGAGTTTCTTAAGAGTGCGTTTCATAAATTATATATTGTGGAATCCTTGGTGTGAGCAACCAACCAAGCTCAGAGAGCACCAAGGAGTCCACAGTTCAACCCTTTTCTCTCTCTCTTTTTTTCTCTTTTCTTTTTCTCTCCCACATTTTTTTAGTAATTAAGAAAAACCAACAACAAAAAAAGAAGAAAAAACAAAGAGAAAGAGAAACAATACATGTACATACATAAAATGAACTTTGCACAAGAGGAAAGATTGAAATGAAAATATCATGATTATAAAAAGTTTTTTAAAAAAATGCAAAACAGACAAATAAAGATTTTAAAAAGCATTCTAGTAACTCCCTTCCTTTCTCCCCCCCCCCTTTTTTTTTCCTGGCTGCTACTGCTACTTAAATATTTTTATACTATACTTTGGACATCTGTGATGATTTCTTATTTCTATTTGGATCAGTGTGATTCTTTGTTTTTAAACAGTTTCTCTTTTTCTTCAAAAACCATATTCGATGTGTGTTCGCTTGCCTTGCTCTATAATAAGTTGTATGTTACTAGGCAGTTCTTTGAAAGTCTAATCACGGCAAAATAATTATGGAGATTTTTCAGATGAATGAAGCTTAACAAGAAAGCTAGCATAATTTTGTCCCAGAGGAACTAGATCTGGCAATCCCGCTTTCCTTCTTTCTACTCCTGAGATTTCTCCTGAATTAAAAAAGATCAGAAGTATAATATATTATAATGCCTTTATTTGGAGAAAGGGAAAAAAAGATCAGCATTATGTTGTTTTTGGAAGATGTGGCAGTTCTCGAAATTAAGCTGCATTATGACTTCTGGAAATGAGGGAGATTTCATTTTTATTTTGCATTTCCATGTTCGATTTTCCCAGTTCATATTTCCCAAATTTACACATGAATCCAAATGTGGGTATATGACAAAAACGACTTTTCCAAAATTTGAAATGCCCCCTCTACAAAATTCATTCAGATGTGTGCTCAACCATGTATTGTGTTAAACTTAATTGCAGGCAAAAATGGTATTAAGATATGCATAATTTAAGTTAATATAAATGTGCATATGAATTTCTATGTAAACCTGAAAATATATATATACCACAAACTAATGGATTTGCCCTTCTGTGTTCATGTTTTAAGCAGAAATGTCATCACACTGTGCAAATAACTATAATTTAGTGGTATATTTACAATTTCACCTGTTGCAGAACAGTGTCATGGTATATTGGAGAATTTAACAGAATCTGGAGTATTTTACTATATGCCGTATAGATTCATGGATAAGCCCATCTGCAGATAAGCCAAACCCAAACTTTGAGGTGTATTTTGGCACCTAAAGCCCTCCACTTATTTGTGAGTATATATGGCAGACATAGGGATTAGAGAATGTTGTAGACTTTGAGTTCTTCTGTGCAGACATATCCTTACCTATTATTGCATTGTCTCAGTTATATACCACGTCACATCTCTGGTTAAACCTGCAAAGTCATATTCTGTCTACATGGTTGCCAAACAGGCAAAATGCCAGCATTCTTATACAAGTAGTTCTTGTTTAGTGACTACAATTGGGACCGGGCACTTGGTCATTAAATGAAGTGGTCACGAAGTGAAACCACGACTGTGCTTACGATCTGACTTCAGCTTTCCTTTGCTTTACAGACCTGTGAAGGTCATCAATGCAAGCATTGGTCATAAAGTTACTTTTTCTTCACTGTTGTTAATTGCAAATTGTCGCTAAATGAAGCAGTCGCTAAACGAGGACTAGTTGTAATTTGTAATGCCAGAGAGAGGACTTCAGATCTGGTGCTAAGGGGAAGGGCAACTGTAGTGCAAATCTATTAAAACAATGTGAAGCTTCATTTGCATTCTCAGGTTACCCAAAGATCTGGAAGGTAGATTCTGACTGAATGTTGGAAGCTACTTCCCAATGAAGCAATTCAATGGTGGAACTGATGACTCGGGGTGGTGATAGGCTGCCCTTCACTGGATGCTTTAGAGTAGAGGCTAGTACTCAAGCAATTAACCATCTGTCTGTGATGCTTTAATTAGGATTCCTACTCTGAATAGGGTGCTGGGCTTCATGACCTATGTTTCCCCTTCCAGCATCCAATTCTGTTATTCTATCTCTATCAGCCTTACCAGGTAGACCAGGCAGGAAACATGACCAGATGTGCTAATTCTACTTTATTGTAAAGCTACATTAACAGAATCTTGTGAGTCTGAAAGTACAATTCTCCGCTATCTCCTTAACAGCCCGAGAAACTAGGGAGGGTCTCTTCTGAGCCTCTTGCCTTACCCACTCTCCAGCTATGGGCTGTGCTGTCTCTTATCTGACCATTCCCTAGGCAGCATCTCTTCGCCCCGTCTCCCAAAGTCTTTCCCATATGCCATTACAATCTCATACCCACCCACATATTCAAACAGACTTGGCTGCAGGCTAGAAAACATACTTATTAAACTTGCCACTTTCAAGAAGGCTCCCTTCTACTTTGTAGCTAACCCTGTTGGGATATGTAGATGGGTATAAGCTAGAATCCCTGAAGTGTGTGTGTGTGTGTGTGTGTGTTGTGTTGTGCTTATTCCTCCTGAAGTGAGGAAGAGAGGAAAATAACGATAAACTATTTACTTTGAAAAATAAAACCCCACTTATAAGATGTTGGTCAAATAGCCAAGAACTCATCATTGCTTTGACTCGGAATGCGCGTCCTAAGTAAGACCTCTGCTTGTCTGTAGGGTATGATGGGTCCCCAGGGAACAGCAGGTAAAGATGGCCTTCAAGGAGCAAAGGTAAAGTTGTTTTCTTCAAGTCATGCTCTCCCCCTGTATCTTCACGGATATATCTGTGCAGTTTTGTGGCATCATTCTAAAACTGATCTGTTGCTGCCTTTTTTATGGGATATTTTTTCAACTCCCTGGTCAACTTTACAGTCTGGTGATCCCCCATCCATGTTCTTACAGCCCTGATCCTACTTAACTTGTAAAGTCAGCTAGACGATGCTACGGGCTTGAGATGAGCTATGTTAAAATCCCTCTAATTGTGCAGTCCAGTGTTGGGTGGGGCAAGGGAGACAACCATTTTGATTCTGCATCAGAAAGAATATCAGTGATGGTTTTATGTCATATCCAGAAAGTACCTAATATTAAATTAGCTCCACTGCTCCTGCTGTTAATTCAAGCTCCCAGAATCTGGTGCCCTGAAGATATGATGGGACTACAGCTCCCAGAATTCCGTGCTTCTGTGCGGCCAACATGCATGTTAACCAGCATTCCTGTTGCAATTACAAGCATGCTGAGGAATACTGCTCCAATGTTATAGAATCAAATGCATGATCTGAATATCTAAGCATTTAATATTTGGCAATAGCATTGCCAGAGCTTCTCTTCCAAGTTGTGACCATTCCCATTAAATGCCTTGTGCACCATAAATTTACCTAAGGGCATGACTACATCGGCAGTTTTATTTTCAGTTCTCTTGCCAACCTGCAGAGAAATTGGTTACATGATGGCAAGAATCCTTTTTTTGCAGATATTGTCTAACTGTGGGGTGGGGGTGGGGCAAAGAATTGGAAGAGCATATCCTTAAGTTTGATCATTAGGATTGGGCAATGTTGAGATTCAATTCCCCAAAGTTGGTTCGGATCCCAGGGGAGGGCAAACCTATCTGCAGCTCTTTAAAGCAGCCCCATCTTTCCCCAGAATCACACAACAACTGCAAGGGCAGCTGGGCAAAGATGGGGCTGCTTTGAAGATGCTACATTTCCCTTTCTGCACAATATGAAGCCCCTTTTAGGAATCAAATACAAAGCCTCCAGAGCCCAACTGATTATTTGACTATCCCCTTAAAACCACTGACAACACATTTTTAAAAATTTATTTATTTTTCAAATTTATATATGCCGCCCATCTCACTATACAAGTGACTCTAGGCAGCATTACAGATAAAAAACTATTATATACATACATACATACATACATACATACATACATACATACATACATATGTTAAAAACTACAAAAGGTTAGAATTAAGCTAAAAAGTTAAAACTACAATACAAACTAAAAAGGTGGAGAGAGCATCCTCAGGCTACCAGCCACCCCCAGTGCTGGGTACCCCCATTGGGTCCCCATGCAAGTTGGCAGAGCCAGGTCTTAACGTCCTTTCAGAAGGCCAGCAGAGTGGGGGCCAGTCTTACCTCAGGTGGCAAGATATTCCAGAGGGCAGGAGCCATGGCAGAAAAGGATCTCCTCCTGGACCCTGCCAGTCGAAACTCCCTAGGTGACAGAGCCCATCACGTACCCTTCCTGCTCATTCTTTATGAATGCTCATCAAGACCCCTGAGCTTTTGTGAGCCCTCAAAGAAAAAGTTCAGCTAAATTGGGAATGGGTAACAGAAATGCTTGGATGTCCCTAAACGCAGGATGCACACCTGCCTGAATTCTCACATTTGTGGTTTGTTCATCAGACTATTCCTCCTGCAACTGGAACAGCCGTGTACACTGAATGAACACATGACTAAATAAGTAAATTTGCTTCACAGGGTGTTCGAGGACTCGAAGGTGCAGCTGGACCACCCGGACCACCCGGACCGCGGGTGAGCAATTTCAGTCCAGAGGAAATTAATGTCCATTCCAGGATGGGCATCTCCATTCCAAACACCTGCTACCAGTAACAGGTTGAACAGGGTTCTCTTGGGTTAGTAAGAACAGGCAAGCAAGCACCACATTCTCTATGCTTTCCTTGCCATTCAGCAACTGGGATGTTTACTTCTGGCAGCTGTTCGGCAAGAAGGGGATATAACTAGCTGGTTCCCAAATTTGAGGCATCTCTCAAAAGCTTGGTTTGGTACCTAAAAGGTACCAGGACACCCTCTTGGATTCTTAGGGCATTCACTTCCTCCTTACATCAACCAAGTAGGCAGTCAGAAATCTCCATCTTTTGCCCTTCAGCCAGAGGGAAAGAAATTTTTAAAAAGATGTGAAGTAGAAGAGAAAGCAAAGCAGAAAAAGAGGAGGGAATCATCCATATGATAGGTATCATCCATGAGAACCAGTTTGGTGTAGTGGTGAAGGCGTCAGGCTAGAAATCAGGAGACCATGAGTTCTAGTTCATGAAGCTAACTGGGTGACTTTGGGCCAGTCCCTCCCTCTCAGCCCCAGGAAGCAGGCAAGGGGAGACCAATTCCAAAACACCTTGCCCAGAAGACTGCAGGGACTTGTCCCAGCAGTCACCAGGAGTCAACACTGACTTGAAGGCACCAAAAAAGATCATCTGTATGGGAGAGAAAACTGGCTTAAACATCCTTACAGGATGAAGCCATTAGAAAGAGAATAGGGAAATTTTTCCATAGCACCATGTGTAGAAATACTGTTACAGTCTACTGTTCCACCCCCTAAATTACGACATTAATAGGAAATGAGGGGAGCATAAGTCATGTGCAATGTACTCTCTTAATATTCTTTCACAGCTATGTGGCGCAATGAAATAAATCTGAATGCCTAATTCTCTTCCTCCTGCTTTTACAAGCTAATTCTGCTGGATTCCCTTAAACCTCAAGGGGTTGATCATTTCTGTCCTGTGGCATTTCCAGCCATTGCTCCTCTCCTTTCTGCTCACAGGGATTCCAAGGCATAGCAGGTGCCCGGGGTAGCCCTGGAGAAAGAGGTCCCCCAGGAGAAGTCGGACCAACCGTAAGACTCCCCCCTCTCACTGTCACTTGCTCGCTGCAATCAAGGATATTGCAAAACCTGTTCGTTTAATTTCACAGTTAACAGATTGTTACCTCTTCCAAGATTCTAGAGTTGGGTGCATTGTAAGTCCAAGCCACCTCATAAATGCAAATAACCCTGGTCTGCCAAGTCATTTTTTGAAATGGTAAGATTTCCCTAATTGTACTTTCACATCTTTATTACTCTGAGTGCTTACAAGTGGCTTCATTCTGCAACGTACCCCACTTACAAGCACAGAGGTACAGCTGCCTGCGTGGGGGCACAGAGGTTTCTGTACTTGCATGCTCCTAAGGCTTGGAAAGGGGTGCTATGGTGAAAGTCTTCTGTGCCACACGTCCAGTGGCCATAAAATGAATGTAAAACCAGAAAACTGAAAGCAGAGAGAAGTAAAAAGGAATTGAAGTGTATTAATGCTATCCATTTCAGCAGGAGACTATTAGTGATCAGTGACTATTAGCAAGTCCATAAAGTTTCTTTAGGACTCAGTGTTACTTGCACATTGCATGCACAAATGCAGAACTGCAGAGGGATGTCTGAAAAGCAATTGTTTTAGGGGAGAAGGGTCCAGCTGTTTATTATCTTGATATCAGAAAATACTGTTTATTATCTTGATTCCCCACTTTTCCTCCATACAGAATTCAGTGTGGCACTCTCAGAGGGTTCTCCTTGGAGATGCACTTAGCAACCCATATTTTGTTCCTTTTTTTCTCCAAGGCAGCTATGAGCGTGCATAATGCTATATAAGGAAATGAATTATATTTTTGACCCAGCATTGTTATATCTGGAAGTGTTTGCCTGTTCACTGTGGGACAGCATTTTTCCTCTAGAGAAAAAGCAAACCTAAAAACCTACAGGATCATCTCCTTTCAAGGGGTAGATATATTTAATTGTTCTTTTATTTATACCTTGAAGATAATAATGTTTTTTTTCTTCTCCAGGGGCTGCCTGGTCCAAAAGGAGAAAGGGGGGAGAAAGTGAGTCTCTGTTTCTTCTTTTATGTTTTTTGATAACTATTTAAGGATTTTAGTATTTTTCATTAAATTTTAAATGAGGGCCTATGCAATTGATACCTGTCCACTTTTTAAACTCAAGAATAGTGGAATCAAAGTATATAATGATCTGCCTCGGTACATGCACATTTCTTTCATTTATAAAGCATAAGAATGTGCAATACCATTTCCTATCTTGCCCTATTCCTTCCCTCTCTGACATCATGAATCTATTCAAGATATCAGAGAGAAACATAATGAACATAGCTGACCAATATGATCCATATTTTTTTAACTTGGATGGGTAGGTGTGGGTCATATATCCTAACTGGGCATATGCAGTGAGGGGAAATCTTTGTCTTGTTTCCATGTTCCAGATCCAATGGATTTATAGTTAGGACAGAAGATACTGCTTCCTGCTTCACTCTGAATTGGCTTTCCAGTGGTGAACTGACTACGCACCATTGTACAGCCACAGGAGAATGAGGCTGCAGTTGAATTGGGTGGAGGGGATGGGTTGTAAATTTCCTAACCAATTTTGGCCCCTCCATTCCATACCAGGTTCTCCAGCCTTGTTCTTGCTCACATGGGCATACAGTTGCTTGTTTTCTTCGCGTGTTGGGGATGGCCAAGTTTTGAAGACAAATCTGGAAGAAGATACTGAATTTTATAAAAATAATGCTGGTTGATGGGATTTGATAAGAAAACAAATGCCACTCAGTGTCAAGGCTATGCCTTTCCAAAATAATTAATTTGCAAATATCTGGGATAGTTAATTAGGTGTCCCTTCATTTGGTCTGATCTCTGGTGACTGGATGAACAAATGCCTCTGTCTTAATCTGTTTCTAATGATAATCCATAGTTCTTTCAAGGACATTCTCATGAGCTCTTGATCCTATCTATCCATCTTGTCTTCCCTGTCTTTTCCTTAACCTTGTCAAGCATCATCCTCTTGTAGCATATGCCAAAGTATTTGAGCTTCCACTTGCTAGTCATTGTCTCAAAGGAGCAGTTAGCCTTTGTTTGGTCTGGGACTGATGGACTGTTTTTTCTTGCAGTCAATGGTCTCTTAGCAATTGTCTTTGCACCTATAATTTGAATGTGTCCACCTTCTTTCTCTTGCTTTTTCTCCATCTCCAGCTTCCACAACCATTCATCACTGTTAACTATTCTAACATTTGTTTTTATTGTAATATCTTTAGCCTTTGTAATCCCTTGCCTTTATCCTAATGAGAACTAAGGAAGGTCAAGTCTGAGATGCTTCTCAATTCCACTCCTGCTTTGGGCTGAGTTTTCTCTTATCTGACTGTTGCCTTAGTTGTGGCTCTTCCTCCTCTTCTTCAGGGTTATTCTCACAGTCCATTACAATTGGCCTTCTCCCTAGGATTTACCTTTTCTTTATTTCTCCATCACACTTCAACTCTCTTCATCTCTTTTTAAGCCCAAGGAAACAAAACCATCTTCACATCTTTGCTATCGACTGTGATTCTATTACTCTGTTTCTCTAAACTCAGTTCTTAGGAGTTTCTTGTTTGTTATATAGAGTCCTCAAAACAAGATCAGATGTTCTGAAATGCCCATTAGCAAGGAGTCCACAGGAGACGTCAGAAAGGGCAGATCTTTGATCACATGGTTGTGGCCACCACATTGACCCCCCAACCCCATCCCTGCAGATGCTGTTTTCATTTATTTGACATTCTGGTACGGTCTGTGCAATCAAAGACATTGTTAGGAAGGTATAATACCTTAAAACAGTGTTTCTCAACCTAAGCAACTGGAAGATGGGTAGACTTCAACTCTACCCATCTTTCAGTTGCCTAGGTTGAGAAACACTGCCTTAAAAGGAAACTGTTGAGATAGTTCTCAATAGTTCTCCTAAAACAATCCCCATCATTAAATATTTGGAGGAAGATGTGCAATTATTTATTTATTAGATTTCAGTATATAGCCCTATCTAGCAACTCTTGGCAATTCACAACACTTATAAAACCCAAATAAACCATCCATGGTAACACCAGCATCTACAAGGGAGGATCAGTGCAGAGAAGATGGTGGGCATGGTGTTGTGATATCAGCCCCGCCCCTTTTGTACCTGCATGTACAAAAGGGGTGGTGCTTGGATCACAATGGCACGCTCTCCGTTTTGAAGACACCCCTGTAACAAGCAACACAAATTCCACAAAGGATAATTTCAAACCCTTCCTGTTCCTTTGTCTCTCTTTTGGCAACTTCTGGCACCCAGAACATATTAATTTTAAACCTCATCTCCTCCTTCTCTTCACCCCTCCCCAAATTGCTCTGCAGATGTTATATTTATTATTTGTTTCTCAGAATAACAGGCAATCTAGATGCAATTGCAGCTACGTGATCCTGAAGAGACATTTAGTCAAACAGGTCTGATGTTTAAAATGATGAAAAAGGAATTTTGCTATCAGATATGGATTAATTTCTGAGTATTTCAAGAAGCCACTTTCCATGGCTGTTCTTTGGGGACTGAATAATTAGACTGTCCTTGAAACTGCATTTCTTAATGTACTACACTTCCTTTTGGGTATACGTATTCCTTAGAGGAGGCGAGAGAATAATCCAACTGCTGAAAACAGTAAACATTGCTATAATCCATAAAAGCTCATAACAGAATGAAAATGGGGTTCAGGTTTATTTTATTATGAGTTTTTATGGATTATAGCAGTGCCTAGTTTCAAACTGCTTTCAGTGATTTGATTATTCTCTTACCTCTTGTAAGGAACACACATACACAAACTGGGGTGTGTAATACATGGAGAGAGATGCAGTTGCAAGGCAACCTTGTGTCAAACAATGCCTTTTTTGATGATACCTCCTGGATCAATCAATACGCAGTTTTTACACAAAATTAAACACAACCTGAGCAAGGAAATGAAAATGTGTTTGCATCACAAATATATCAACGAGGATATATCATGTGGGAGTTCAGGAGAATGGCTTTTAAAAAAACCAAAGACTCAGCCATTGATAAAAATAAAATATCTAGTTCTGACTGTAGTTGGAAAGGGGATTGACAAACATAGTCCTGTCCTCCCCCAAACTCATGAAATGATTCATCCAGAAACAGTTAGGAGAGATGAAATTTCATAAGGTGGCCTTTCCTAATGCCAGATGGACTACAACTCACATCATCCTCAGTCATTTTGGCTGGCTATAATGGGTAGCATAGTCTAATACATCTTGAGGGATGCTGGCTTGTGACAAGCTGCCATAAGAGTTCAGCTGGTTTCCTAGAAATCATGTTTCTAGGAAATAAAAAGAGGACAAGGCCAGAATGTGTGATGTTTCCGTTATGTCTCCCTGTCTGTTAGCCCTTCGAGGTAGTCCGGACAAGAAGCACACCCAGAAGTACTAGCTGTATCTTTATTGTAAGGTTACATTAACAGAATCTTGCAAGTCTGAAAGGGTTTCTCCCCTCCTTCTCTTTTACCCTCCAGAAACCTGAGGAAGGGCCCCTTCTGAGATGTTTGCCATGCCCCATTCTTTCTGCAGGCTCAGCTGCTTCTTATCTGACCATGGTCTAGTCTGTGGCTCTTCCTCCTGTCTCCCAAGATCACTCTCACATACCATTCCACCATCCCACCCATGAAATGGCCTTTCTCAGAAGCAAGATTATCTTCATTATGAATAGCCTTCCAAAAGACCAAGCTATTCCAGAAGGCTTTGCGGTGAATAGTGATGCTGCCAAGATCATGAGCATAATTTAAATTTTAATTTAATCTAGTTTTAAATTATATTCATCAGAATCTTGCCTGGCTTGATTTTCATAATGAGTATGACTCTAACCATTGATAGAAAACGTTGTACAAATGAGTATTGGAATCCTACCTTTCGGGAATGAAAAAGAGAGTGGGGGCAGATTGAGTTGTCTACACAAAGTGTTCAAATTCACGTGTCCAATAGTGGTGAATGCATTTAGGAGAATATGTGGAAATGAATGTCACAACCCCTCTTCAAAAATCACAGTGTCAGGACATGGAAGAAGGCAATTGGAATGAATGCCGCCTTCAAATATACACGCATTCGTGCCTAATGAGCCATTCTTATTATGTTAATGGCTCAGAAAAAGGCTTTTGCAAATGAATTGGTTGCCTCAACACATTCAGAAAAGTTTTTTTTTCTTCTCTCTCTGCAAGGAGCAAAAGCTAGCATCCTTACTATGTGTTGTGCTAGTCAGACTAAAGGAGGAAAAAGTGCCATAAACATGAGTTTGAGCTCCTGGAGAACGATGGGATATAAATCTGACAAAGAAATAAACATAAAAGGACATATATTCATTATTTTTATTTTTTATTAGTATTTATAAATACTAATATTTATCTTCCACTTTTCTTCATATTTAATATTCTTTTTATTTCTTAAAACATAAAAATGGTTACCATATTAGAAATGCCCACACCTTAAAACATGTCTTCTAGATTTCAAACACAAAATTAATTCCAAGTTGAACCTCAGACAGTCTTGAAATATGCCCAGAGTTGCATGTTTAAGAAAATGAACTCTATCATTACCTGAAATCTGGGAAGAAAGTGGATCTAGATGTTCAGAGAGCAAGGTACAGCAGTCTTTTCTGGAATATGCCACATCAAAATTCATTGAGGTGGGAGTACCGAATGTGGTCCTCCTCTCCAATTTAAGAATAAAAAATAGCAGTTCCCAAATGTACTTTTAGTTATAAATCACACACACGTGCCTATTTGATCTTTCTTCTTCCAAAATTTAGAGGATGACTAACTTTTTTTTAAAATAATATTTTATTGAAATTTTAAAATTACAAAGTTAAAAGTTAGAAATG